TTTTTTTTTTTTCTTCTCCGAGGTGGGAAAGGTGATTCGTCTTTAGCTCGGAACCCGCCCACGTGGGTCTGCCCTCCCTTATCTTCCTTCTGAAATTGCCCCGTGACTTACTGTAGACATGTACTGCTGCTGTATAGTGGCAACATATTCAAAATACAAAAGTGCGTGAACGGTACATTGCTCGCCAAAACACACAAATTGGAAGTGTGGTGCGTGTACAAATGTAACATGAACAGCATGTGCCCTCCATAAACTCTTTTTTGGCAGCTGGTTGAAACGAGAGCGTTCATCTTCCTGAGCCTTTCGAAATGCAATTAATTACTACTGCTGTATGTAAACAAACCTGTTCATGGTTCAAGATAATGTCTAACACAGCACAAGACACACCCGGCAATCACGAGAAGGATACCCGCTTGTCACGGCCCTCTAGAATATTTTTAAAGCACCCCGACGAGTATCGTCGGCGTTGCTAGTCCCAAGCTTGGATGTTTTGCTCGTGTAGGTAGGTGCGACGTGGATGACAAAGCAATGGCACGGAAGACCCAACGAAACCGAACGCAAAAAAAGCCTCAAACGCAAAAACAACGGAGAACGGCGTTGAGGCGCTCATGAACCCGCAATATACAACTAGGCAGCAGCTACTCCTGTGCTACCCCATGCGGCCTGAAGGGCTGGTGGGCACACTTTGTACTCAGCAGGCGTTCCTTCCAACATTATTACTTCTAGTCGTAGCAGAAGATGGCGCGTAAGGCGGAGGCGTGGCTACGCAGATGGAAGATCTCAGATACACCAGCATGTATGTATGTGAACAGAAGAACCGTGCCATCCACTGTCGTACGCGTCCGAAGAGGTGACTATGCCCCCTTGTAAACAGTCATACTTATGCCACCGGCCACGAATCCGAACTTGAGAGATGAAGTGGTTCCTGTTAGGGCCACCCCCAAGCGCAAGAAAATACGAAACGGCACGGCTATTTGGGACAACACGTCTAACTCGGCGTAGAAAGCTCGGATCGACCTCAAACCAAGTTTGTTGTAATCCTACTGGACACAGCTTTCACGGAATGTATTTTGAGTCCACAACGGAGCCGGGGCCGAGGAGATAGAGCCTAAAAAAGGGGCTCCTTGTTATGGAGGAAAACGTGGATTTACCGAAGCCACGGAGCCCCTTTTTTGGGCTCTATCTCTTCGGCCCCGGCTCCGTTGTGAACTCAAAATACATTCCGTGAAAGCTGTGTCCAGTAGGATTACAACAAACTTGGTTTGAGGTCGATCCGAGCTTTCTANTTGTTATGGAGGAAATCGTGGATTTACCGAAGCCACGGAGCCCCTTTTTTGGGCTCTATCTCTTCGGCCCCGGCTCCGTTGTGAACTCAAAATACATTCCGTGAAAGCTGTGTCCAGTAGGATTACAACAAACTTGGTTTGAGGTCGATCCGAGCTTTCTACGCCGAGTTAGACGTGTTGTCCCAAATAGCCGTGCCGTTTCGTATTTTCTTGCGCTTGGGGGTGGCCCTAACAGGAACCACTTCATCTCTCAAGTTCGGATTCGTGGCCGGTGGCATAAGTATGACTGTTTACAAGG